TGGCTGGGGCTTGATCTTTGGGGGTGCTGCTGGCCTAAGACACTGAGTTCTGCTGATTAGAGGGGTCCCCATGTTATACCTCAGCTGGCCGCATGCTGTCAACCTCCTCCCAGATGAGGAGAAAAGGAGGGGAAAGTTTCAGGGAATAATGAGCACCTTCAGGTAATTATTGATTAGTCAGGGCAGGAGGCCAGGGGAGGGGTCTGCAGGTCAGCCCAATCCCACTCCCCCACCATGCTGCACTTCTTAGGATCGTCATTGCCCCTAAAAATGAATAGAAAACAAAGGGTATTGTTTTAAACTCTCCCAGGTGCGAATAGCCCTAACACAGCAGCCCAAGCCTGGAGGGCATGGGGGCAGGGAGAGAATTAAAAAAAAAAAAAAAAAAGACTCCTTTGAGTCAGTATATCTGGGATCTTGAGCAGCGGTCACTGACTGTTTCATCTTTGGCAAACCAGTCTCCCTCAGGAGGTCTGAGGCGGAGGAGCAGATGATGAATATTACGTTTTGGATTCAAAACAATCTGTGTATTTATTCTATGGTGCCTCCAACAGACTTCTGTCTGTGGCAGACTTTAAGAGGCTTAATCTCTTCAGGTCAAAGGTGAGAGAGGACTTGCTGGTTGGGAAGGTGTTTGATAAAAGCAGTACCACAAGGACCTACTGCACAGGGAACTATACTCAATATTTTGTAATAACCTATAAGGGGAAAGAATCTGAAAAGAAAATAGATATTTATATGTATAACTGAATCACTTTGCTGTACGCCTGAAACTAACAGAACATTTTAAATCAACTGTACATCAATTAAAAAAAAAAAAAAGTGGCGCCAGCCCAGAGCTTCTCCCTCTAGGGGAGACCAGGGTAACTGCAGGGACACACACAGTGGAAGGAGAGTGTCTGGGAGGCCCAAGAAGGGGCTGTCCCAAGTGCCAGGGACCCCCCAGCCTACTCTCCCCTCTCAGCCTACCTATCCCTGAGTGCCTGCTGTGATGAGATCGACAGATGTCCTGCAGTGTCCTTGGTCCTGTGCTCACTGCGCCATCCCTCAGTGAGAGTTCTGGGTCAAGAGCCAGACTTCACTCCAGAGCTGCCAGGTACCAGCTGTGCAGTCTTGATCAAGTCATCTCACTTCTCTGAGCCTCAGTGTACTCTTATGAAAACTGGGGACACTATCTCCTAGTTCTCGGGGTTAAGAAATTCAAAGGAGATCAAGTTGTGAAAGCATTTTGTAAGCAGCACAGTTACCCAAGAGAGGTGCCCTGGTTAAAGTCCTAGCTGTCCCTTCTACTGCAGGATCACTGCAGTGAGTCTGACAATCGAGGTCCCCAGGGTGCTTCAGCCCTCTCTGGTCTTTTTTTTCTTTTTTAAATAAGTTTAGTTATTTATTTATTTAGTTTTGGCTGTGTTGGGTCCTTGTTGCTGCGCGCAGGCTTTCTCTAGTTGTGGCGAGTAGGGGCTACTCTTCATTGCGATGCGCGGGTTTCTCGTTGCAGTGGCTTCTCTTGTTGTGGTGCATGGGCTCTTCTAGGCACGCAGGCTTCAGTAGTTGTGGCTCGCGGGCTCTAGAGCAGTAGTTGTGGCACACGGGCTTAGTTGCTCCACAGCATGTGGGATCTTCCTGGGCCAGGGCTGAGTCCGTGTCCCCTGCATTGGCAGGTGGATTCTTAACCACTGCGCCACCAGGGAAGTCCTTTGTCTGCTCTTTATTTCTGATTTCTGGTGACCAGATAGCCCCATCCTCACTCTGCAATTCACCCCAGAGCTCTTGCCAAGTCTATATCCCCCAGAGGCCTGAGTCTTCTCCTCTTCCTGGGGGCAAAAAGCCTGGCCTGAGACACTGGTGACCCCCATGGGTGCTGGCATCAAGAACCAGGCCTGGGAGAGGGCAGGTCAGGCTGAACTGAACATGTATGTTTTCTTCTCTTCCTTATGAGTGTTTTTCATAACAAAGCCTGGAATGTTGGCCCATGAATTTTGAACCTTCACTTAGTGCAGAACTCAGGTGGGGCTTGAAGGAGTTCAGAGAGTTTGCTCAGACTGTACCCCAGGGGAGGCCACATCTTCCCGACAAAGGCCCTCCACATGCCAGGCCCTGCTCAGCCGTGTGAATACAAAGATGAGCTTTATGGTGTGGCAGAGAAGAAGGGGTGGTGAACAAAGTCAGGAGGGGATTTTGAGGCAGCACAGAGACAGACCACCTAATCCAACCTCGTGGATGATAGGATTCCAGGGAAGCAGTCAGCCTTCCTGGAGAAGACATCATGAGTCTTAAGGGTTAGTAGGGTGTCGAACAAAGGAGCGTGTCAACTGAAAAAAAAAGTTGAGAGTTCTGTTTAATTTAGCAGACATTCTTAGGACTTCAAGACAGCATCTCAAATAAATCTGAGAGACTGCTCCGAAGAGGCGAGAAGGAAACCAGGATATACAGGAGTTTTTGCAACAAAAGACCAGGTAGTCGGAACATCAAAAGATTACTGTTAATAAAAGAAAACCAGACATCTGAAGTTAAGGAATTTAGTGCTTTTCTACGTATGGGAAGATGCAAGAGTCTGGGCTCATTGAAATCATTCTTTTGAAATGCACCTCAGCTACCTGGGGCCAGTATCCTGTGTTTTCTCATCCTGAGTTTCCTCAGGGGGCACCATGGGGGTAGGAGGGTGATGGCTTGATGGCTGCAACATCCTTTGTTTACTGATATGGCAGGCAACACTTTAGTTCTCTAGGGGGATTTCTGGCAGAGGAAATAACTTGAACAAAGGTGTGGAGTTGAGAAGACATAAATAATATTGTAGAAACAGAATTATATTCAAGCTTGGAGATGCAGAAAATGAGGCTGAGAAGATAAAGATAGGCCAGATATTTTCATATGAACCACAATGCCAGTAACTTGCATATTGTTACTCTCGTCATACAAATCATGAAATAGAGGCTCTGAGACGTTAAGTAGTTTGCCCTAGTCTCACAGCCAGCAAATGGCAGAGCTGAGATGGGAACTCGATCTGTCTGACTCCAGAACACAGCCTCCGGCTGGTGGTTTGGACGGGGCGGCCCACTTCGGTGCAGAAGAAGGGTGCGGTCTGAGACACCTGTTCTTGGGCTTGAACAGGGCTTTTGGCAGCCTTCTGGTTTCAGTCCCCCTTTGATTTTTTTCAGGTCTGTATCTGCAACAAATAGAGGGGAAGGGGGCAACCACAGTGGGAACCACCTTCCAGGCCGCCTGCAACCTCATTTTAAATATCAGGAGAGAGGGCCAGTGGCCAAAAGATCTACCTTTCAACATGCTTTTTTTTCCCCCCTGTCTGTGGGTGTGGCCAGAGCAAGCCCACACAAACCAGCCTCCGTCAGGAGGTGGGTCAGGGCATGTGCCTAGTTCTGCCAGGCACCGCTGATGGGTGGTTCCCACAGAGAAAGCCAGATGCACCAGGACTGAGAGCTGCATTTCAGAAGCTCTGTTTCTTCAGACCAGGTCCTATCCACTGGGGGCTTCCATCAGGCCACACCCATTCCTG